AAATAAAGCCAAAATTAGAAAGACTGGAAATAAAGAACACCTATCTAAAAACAGAGACTGAAAATAAAGCCAACCCCCCCCCCCCCCAAAAAAAATCTAGTGTTAGCTGCATTTGTACGCATAAATTTGAATATGTATATGGGTTTTTAATGGTACTCAAACGAGCTTTTAGTGAGGGGATTTTGTTAGAGTTTACCGTCAAGAATCCAAGAGAAGGAACGATGTGGAATCGTATGCAGCAAATAATCGCAAAATAGAAATCGACGCACCAAAGAATCGCAAAAAAGAAATCGACGCAGCAAAGAGAAATCGTACGCAGCAAAGAAACGAGAGGGAGAAATCATACCGATGTGGAAGAAGCCGGTGGAAGAAGCCGACGTGGAAGGAGGCGATGTGGAAGGAGCTCTCGTGGAACGGGCGAGAAAAGAGATGATGATGAAGGAGGGTTAGTAATTAGGTTTTCTATTTTAATCTATTGGAATCTATTGGAACAAGGGTAAGATAGTAAATTTGTATTTAGTCCCATGTTGTTCCACCTTTTTTGGTGGAACAAAAATCATCAAGTTTTGTCCTATCAAATTTAAAAATAGTCTCATCTTGTCCCATGTAATTTTTGTCCATGGCATGCCAAACATGGGACTATTTTTTTCTTGTCCCGTCCCGTCCCGTCCCCTGTAGTCTGCATACCAAACGCACCCTAAAGGATTTCATTAAGTATGCTAGAAGAATGCAATAAGAGGTAAAATTGAAAGGCCTACAGGCCTAAAAACATCATGGAGGCTGTAAGCGTTTAAAACATGTAAATGTTATTGAGGATCATTTTGTTAATTGGATAACTTGTGTTGACTCTTTGTTTAGTCAAAGAGTGGAACGATCCATGTTAAGTAAGAAAAAATAGCACGAATGAATAATACCACCAAATTATGCAAAATCAAAATCATGGCAGACAAACAGATAGAAAGCATCTACGATAGGGTGACTGTAGTAATACTAGTTGTAGAATGCATGATCTGAAGTTTACCTCGTTGTTTAGTGTGGCAAATCTCACTACTTGACCCATAGGAAGTTTTCCATACTTATTCATGTCACATTGCCACACGAACATGTATCATCATTCATCATCATAGCTTAACTATCACATTTTGTTTCTGTTTTTCTTATTTCTTTTGTGCCATTGATTAAAACAATATATGGTAGCAACTTCCATATCAGGTCGAAGTAGGTTGTATTTGTGTGCCACTTTTACAAGTAAACAGCAAGTTTCATAGATGCATGTACATGTTTGCATAAATGTAAACTGTGTACATCATATCAACAATGCAGAGAGGCTAATAGATTAGTATTCAGTAAAAGGTACGTATATATTTGAGTAGAGAATACCAAATTAAGAGCTTATACCCCCTCAAGGAGGAGTTCGTTTTTAACTATTACTATTCATGCATCATCATGCTTTTCTGTATACGTATATCTGAGAAGAGAGTCAGGGATGCAGGAGAGAAGGAAGAGGTAAATAACTTATGAGAGGTGGTGATATGCTCTATGCGTTTATGTCTGCAGTTGCTTTCTGTTTGATGCAAATTTATTTTGTCCTGCTTTTTCCTTCTCCATCTCTCTTTAATAAACATTCAACTATTATCATATAAGATCTACAATGGGTAGTATTATTATGGAGCATTGCTACTGTTACTCTCTCTTTAGAACCAAGCCTGCTCCTGCTGCTTCTGACTATTCCAGTCTTTTGTAGCCTATAAACCATAAATCCATATTCTGACAATGACTGAATGATTGTTTACTTATCTATGATTCTTTACATAGCAAATTACTTATGGAGTATTTCTGAATTTTTTTGGATTCGGCATCTAGAGTTACAAGGAGACTTTGATCAAACACCTGTATTTATCTTCCGTCACTTCCTTTAGTCCCAATTTTAACCAGGTCTTGAAGCTGAAAATGTGAATACCATTTTCATATATGATTTATGTGAATGGAAAGTGTCTTCACTCGTGCATGCTTATACTTTTTTTTTTCCAGTTATTACCTGTAAATGGAATTAACCATCTTGCTTGTTATATTTCTTGTGGTAATCACATGTTCTTTTGTTTATCAGAGTTGAAAAGGTCTCTCTATGCCTTGTTCTCCCAGTATGGGAGGATTTTGGATGTTGTTGCTTTGAAGACGGCCAAACTTCGTGGGCAGGCATGGGTTGTTTTCAGTGAAGTAACTGCTGCCAGTAATGCAGTTCGCCAGATGCAAAACTTTCCATTTTATGACAAGCCGATGGTGAGTTTAGAAACATGAACTAGTAATATGTAGATATATCCTAAGATATTTGAAACTTGTACTGCATGCTCTTAACTTCTATTACTTTATTGATGCTTTCTGAATAGGAGAACAGAAAATGCTTGCATATGATAATTTATTTTAAATCTTTGCCATAAGAAAACCATTGCTAGCTCTAAAAGATATAGTAACTCCATTCAAAAGCAGCCTCTCCTTTTACTTCTACACAGTTACTTCTAACTATGAATATACTTGCATTATGTTCGTATATTTAACAAACATAGAAATTGATACAATGAACTATTGCCATCATCTTCTGTTAATTCAGTGTTACATTTTGCTTGTGTTCGTTGGATATCTCTTTTCTCCTTCAAACTCTAGTGGGTTCTTGCAAAGTCCTTCCACTGGCCTGGGGTCTCTAGGAACCAGAATGATAATAGTGAGATAGTCGTCAGATAAGTGTAAACTGAGACAAAATGCTCGTCAGATAGATATACATACATACTGTTGACTGGTCTTTAATTCACACATGTTTTGACCCAACACATAAGTTTCCCACTTGGCTGCTGTTTTCTTAAATTGTGGACTTCTTTTGCATATCAGCCGATTACAACTAGCTATCATCGTCAGTGTTCAGCTACATTCTCTTCTACTTTTTCCCTCCAAACATCAATTTGTGTAGTATCTTCACCTGATCTCTATCTTAGGCAAAGTTCTTTAACATCTCCTTGGTGAAATGCAGCGAATCCAATATGCCAAAGGCAAGTCAGATTGTATTGCAAAAGCAGATAATACATTTGTTCCAAAAGATAAGAGAAGGAAGCAAGAGGAAAAAAGTAAGTTAAGAGTCCTAGTCAAGTTTTATTTAAGTATATAATAATAATAATAATATTTATATACGGCAAATACTCATGCACACTTCTCATCTTTGGTGAGTTGAACCGTTAACCTTCTGGGAGGCTGGCTTCTACTGATAACCTGTGTACTGTTGGCCAATGACCCTTTGATCTAGTCAAGTTTTCTTGTTAAATACTTTCTTGTACCATGTCTACATGAGTTCAGATTTGAAAAAGGAATTCTTGACCATTTTCAGTGTTTATGAAGTTGATCTAAAAAAATATGGATAATTTTAGGGTACTTGCCCTATCCCAAAATAAGTATCCACAATAGAATTGAGACAGTTTTTAGACTTGCATAATTATTGCACTTTTTAGTAAACTAAATGACAACTTTACACTTAATTATTTATCTATCTTATCGTCTCTTAAAATTTTGCATCAATTAAGGCTAGATTTGGAAATTTAGTTATCTATTTTTAAAACTAGACACTTATTTTGGTACAAACATAAATGGAAATATGGACATTTATTTTGGGACGGAGGGAGTATTTTATAAAAATTTCACATGGTATTATGCCCTCCATAGTGTACTTCTCGACAGCTTTTCATCATTAAAAAAATAAATTGATGGCGTTGATTTGGATATTGCTAACATTTCTTTATGGTGCTTCTGATGGATGTCATTTTAAATATCAACAATTTATTGAACACACAAGTTAAACCTAATGCAACCAGTTAAATATTGCTTCGTCATGGGTTCAAGAAGTACATTGTATTTCTTTTCTTATTTTGAAGTATACAATACTCTTGCAGTCTCGCTGTCCCAAAAAAAAGCGTGCATATTTCTATTTTAGGTTGTTTCAAAATAAGTGTTCATTTTCAAAAGTAAGTGTCTACCTTCCAATTCTACCATTAATTATGAGATGGAGATATTCATTACTCCCTCTTTTATCAAGGGTAACATTGTCATTTAGTTGATTAAAAAGTGTAAAAAAACACATTTCTAATTATGTGCCTTTTTTACATTTATTTTGGGACGGAGGGAGTATTTAAGATTTGTGTATGTTTCCTTGTCTTGACATTCACCACAAATGTACAGCTGAAAAGAAGAGAGATACTCCACAAGCTACTAACGGTGTGAGAACCGACAACGGAACCCCTGCTGTAAGTTTCTTGGAACCAAACTCTCCCGAAAATTTCATCTTGTAGATGTTTTGGAGCATCTCCAACTGAATCTCTGAAATAGAGATATTGGAGATTCTTTTTATATAAAAGTTGGCTCCAACAGAATCCTCGAATCATTCTCCAAAAGGGAGAGAATGGGAAATTCTCCATATTTGAATAAGGGGATGTTTGGTTGGTTTTTCATCAAGTCCTGAATGGATAAAGCTGTCTGTGTGGATTAATTTGTCTGTATAGATTAGGAAGGTTTTTGTTTGCAAGGGTTTTTTCATAGATGGAAGGAGGGTGTTTTTTAATTGAGAGGCAAGTTTGGAAAAAAAAACCTTAGTTTTCTGCATAAAGTTTCCTTCTAGAAGCTTATTGCATAAACCACTTTCTATATCATTAAGCCACTTCCAAACAGTCATGTATAGCTGACCATATAAGTTGGGTCCAAGTAAGCTCATTAAGCTACTAACAAACAGGCCATAAATCTCCAAAATTTATTTATTTTTTAAAGTATATGACATTTGTATACGACAAATACTCACATACACTCCTCACATTTGGTAAAGTTTGAACCCTTGACCTACCGGGACTCCGGGAGACTAGGCTTTACGGTACCATAGGGTCAATGACTCTTTGGTCCCAAAATTTATCATGAAGGAGAGATATGGTGTCATCAAATGTTTTTTCTTTCTATTTTTTGTTTGAATGCGTCATAAATTGTTTGTTATACCATTTTATGAAGAGGTTGTTTGAAAGTTTGTTCGAGTATCACTTCATTGAATATTTTAATTCGATAAATTAATGTTATAATCTCCAAAATGGAGAAACCAAAGTTGAATGAGTTTCTTTTTTGGAGATTTTCTTACTTATTTTTGCAAAATTACAGAGAACCTGTTGTAGATGTTCTTACCAACCAGAACCGTTGGTATGATCGTTTCTTTTTAATGAATTTTTACAAACACGTGCAGGCTTTTAACCGAACCGGAAGGCCAAATACGCAAGAAACAACAGCACCAAACAACATCCTCTTCGTACAGAATCTAACACATGATACAACAGAAGACATGCTGCAGCTTCTTTTCAAACAATTCCCGGGTTTTAAAGAAGTTCGAATGATCGATGCAAAGCCAGGTATCGCGTTTGTCGAGTTTGATGACGATAATCAATCTTCGACTGCAATGCAATCTCTGCAAGGCTTCAAGATCACGCCTCAAAACTCGATGTCCATCAGTTATGCTAAGAAGTAAACCCAACGGTCGTCTTTGCGGTTTTCTTGTGGTGAGTAGTGATTGGTTATGATGGTAGTTTGTAAGGAATTTTTGGCAGTTTTTCAAAACTCATTTCTGTGAGGAAATTATAGAAACTGGTTTAAGGTCAGTTGGGATAATGTTCTTTCTCTACTTGCAAAGCATGTTTTAACTGCAATAGATGCCTTGGTGGTATTTTGAAGGATGATGGATTGTGTGCTATAAGTATTGATGAGTTAAAAGTGGATTAAATTGTATCAAACTTTGCTTACTTATGTTTGGTAAATTATCTGATAAATTAACTGTTCGTTGACTGATAAGTTAGTTATTAGTTGATAAATTAGTTATGTTTGAAAAAAACTCTTAAAGGGTTTTTTTCCCTCAAATGGAGGATCAAAAATCAAATTTAATTTTTTTAGTAGGGTTGGGTTCCGGTGATAATGAAAGTTATGGTGAAAAGTGTAAGAAATGGATCAATCCTAGTTGAAGAGTTCCATTATATCAACACCGATTAGAAGCACCGGAAAAATTCCTTTCTAAAGTACAATTCATTGGTTGGTTTGAGAATAAGAGTGATCAAGGGTCCAAATCTCTTCTTACACTTCTCATCTTAACTCATATTCTCACACGATCTTTCACCTTTCTTAATAATAGTTTTTTTTATCCGTGTGTGTTTAGACCAACTTGTGCGTACCTCGACTAATTTCAGGGACCCTGGAGAACAACCAAGAAATTTTTTAGTGGTTTTGCATGATTTGAACTGATGATGCATGAAGAAAAACCCCAAAGACCCAAGCCTTGTTACCAATTGAAATAATCCTACAAGGTTATGGAACCATGGCGGACTTGTGAAGGCCCCAACACTAGTGGGGTCCTAAGCCTTACGTCTAAACAATAGTCGTTGGAACCGGGGGAGGACTTATGAAGGCCCCCAACGATAGGGGGTCCCAAGCCAAACGTCTAAAGTTCTAAACAATAATTGTTGGAAACAGGGGTCGACTTATGAAGGCCCTTAGCGCTAGCGGGGTCCCGTACACTTGTTCAACTGATTTTTTTAAGTAATTGTTTTTGGGTAGGAGTTATGAAAGGTTTACATGCTAAACTTTGAGGGGTGTTTTGAAATATTAGAAAACAAAAAAAACAATTAACCAAAAATTAGAAAAGTCCTTCGAAATCAACCCAAAAACCATAAAGGTCTCTTGAAATCAACTAAATAACTTTAAAAAATTCCTTGAAGTGATAGATCTCTCTCTTTATATATATATATATATATATATATATATATATATATATAGG